ATAAGTTTATGTACCTTACTCGATGATAACACGCTCTCCGAGAAAACTGTTAGCTAATTTTAGTCATTTTTGCATTCTCAAGTCTTCTAAAGCTGCGAGGTCATCTCAAGATTCAGATCCTCAGCAGTGTAGATAAGCAGCATTATAAGTATTGTTTAAAGAACTGCCAATTCAACGTTGGACCACGAACTAGGAGAGCATCGGGGGTATAAATAACGGCCTTTATTCGGGGTATTTCACTGATGAATGATTATGTCATTCTTAATTCACGATTTGTCAGAATATGTTAATTTCCAAAGTTGTAGTTTTGCAGATGTTTTATCATAAAATGTAAAAGCACTCATGAAATGCACGGAATATAGACTGGCCACTAATAGATGCTTTTGTTGGGTATTTGAAGGTGTTGTGTTCCCAAGCTTATTCCTCGACAATGGAGTCTAGGTATTACTATTACCCTAGACCAAAAGTAAACCTGAAACGGTTACTATCGGGCCAGATATATTATACAAGTGTAGTCCAGTAAGTACATCATTACAATGCCCAAACGAATTGTCAAGTAGTTCCTATAGACGTCGTGTATATTTTTCTCCACATAACAATGAATGCAATATGAGGGAATATATTGTTGCTTGAACTATATATAAGGAAGGTTTACAGCATTATCATGGCCAGTTACATGACATCACATAGGAAACCTGTGTTTGTGGGAATCACACCAGGTCATCTTCGACGAGTTTCCCTAATACAGGCTTGCCCTCTGCCCCTGTTCAGGTAACGCTGTCTCGATTGGTAATGTATGCAGTACACGCTATTGTTTTACATCGTATTGTACCCGTGTACATCCTATAGTAGGGTTCCTCTTTAAGCATTTTGTCAAGGAAAACATCACATACTGATACATGTATCAAACATTACCAACCTATTGATATCAATCATTACTAATCTATTGATATCAATCATTACCAATCTATTGATATCAAACATGATCAATCTATGATATCAAACAGTATCAATCTATGATATCAAACATTATCAATCTATGATATCAATCATAACCAATCTATTGATATCAAACATCATCAATCTATGATATCAAACATTACCAATCTATGATATCAAACATTACTAATCTATTGATATCAAATATTTAACATTACACGTGTGTCAAATTGTGTTTGATGACGACGGCTGCGTCAAGTGTACACAAGCAGCAAAGATATATTTGATGATACTCATTGAAATGTGTAACTTAAAGAGGTAAAAAGCTTATGTCTTCGAATAAGACACTTTTCGCATAGTATAATGAACGACGTCGATGTAAGGTTACGTCAGATTTACAATTTGATTGCAGGCGGATAAAATAGAGGACCAAGTTTTATCATGATTGAGAAAATAGTTTTGTCGAGTTCCTAGAATTATAGTTCCAGTATAATCAAAAAGACTAATCGGTGTCGGTTATCTGACGAGACAAATTCCAAAAGGCACAAAACTAACGAAAATGACACCAGCTATTAGCAAAACATGTCCCGCCACTCAGACGATTTGAATAAACAGTGTGTAAGTTGTTTTACACCCGATAGAATGTGTGTTATAGACTAGCTGTTATTGGTGTTTAATATTTATCAATCCACGGGTTGTTATTATGAAATGAAACATACACCTAGAAGTGTATATAACATACTAACTTTCCTTGCTTTTGAGTGTAGAGAAATACAACATATTTCGGTACAGTCGGTACACACCTTAGTTTAAGTTGACCTCTGAGACCCTAAACGCTTTAATATCTCAATCACTGATGTAGAGTGCTTCATCTATTATACTTGCAGCTCCTCACTATAGCAACACCGCTCTGAAAATAACAAAACTGTAAACTACAGCACTGTGAACATCATGAATTCCCTCTAAATCTGCCTGGAGAAAATTTTTTAACATATCATTTATAGTGTGTACGTTCAGAAATTCGAGTGTGGATTTGTTATGAAATTCGAGTGTGGATTAACGGAGTTTTCACTACCGAGGCTAGTCTATATTTCTAAACAATCTTCTTTGAACATTTAAGACATATTTCTCCCACTGCTTGTACTCCAATGCTTTCCTAACAACTCACTTTACCACATGTATATATCAACCTCGTCGGTCCTCCAAAGAGGGTACGTAAAACCACATTATTCAATGTACATGTATGTTGATCATTGCCAGAATTTTAATCGTAGAATGTTTGTAGTTTTAAATTATGGCTAAATTGCTCAAAATTCGCCAACAGCTGAAGGGAAGATGTAAATCCAGCTTGGGCCCATGCAGGTAGCAAGAGTAATGTAAGACCCCATGGTCCCTAGAATGGTGATCTACCTTCAGTTGCTGGCAATCTATAGCCCGATTTTATATTGCGTTGTTTTGAAATGATTTAGCATTTTACACTGAACGCAAACTACTTTTAATTAATTTGTGATACTCTAGTCGTTATACTGTCCTTTGCTGACAGGTGTTTAAGAAGTATATTGATATATTTCTTCTTAGCACATAACTTTTTGTCGTCACGATATGGCTGAAATATTGCCGATGTGACGTTAAATATTAATTCACTCACTCACTCAACCTCGTCGTCTCCTGTGCACTTAACAGAAACATACAGATGGAGCAGGTGCCCTTGCCAGACACCAAGAAACCGAATACATGATACATTCAGCAATGAAACAGACATGGGTAGTGTTTCAAACCACATATAGTATGAATACACGTGAATTACATATGATTATGGTATACCACACCCACTGTATGACTAGCACATATGGTCAGCACAACAGCATTGATATCAAGATGTAGTGTATATACTAAAGAACAATATATCAGGCGAAGTACGTATAATGATTAACTGATATTCATTAAAAACATTGACATATATAGACATGGCATATAGTGAAATGTCCAGTATTCATGGCGCATGAAACATGTTATGCTACATGCATGTACTGAAATGTAACAGCAGTCTATGAATTTAGTGGAAAGGTGACACATACACTTGAATTAACTGAGGCGATTGCATCCACTTCTGAAAACGTGAATACTGCTTCTGTATTCATGACCTTATAAGGATGTTTTACCGCTCACCATACCAGAGGTTTTATTATCTCGGTTGCCATATAAATATATAGCCTCAAGTGGATGAAACGTTGTTCAGTTCCTCGCTTAGTGGAATAGGACGCCATGCGATGGTTTGCTGTCGAAATATGCGGGATGATGATATTGCATCGTTGGTTATTGACAAATGGATCTGGTATGTGCAAGGCGAAGGGCCCTCTGGTCGAAAAATTGTATTCCCCCTCCGTCGTCGGCTACCCAAGACGAGTACGTGCCAGAGTTGATTGATTCCAAAATGTATTATACCCATGAAATTTAACGCATTCTTAGGATCATACATCATATAACGCAATAGAAACACCAACAGAATGCAGAAGGAGATCGCAGCTCTTGCCCCAAATATGGAGATCAAGGTTCTTGCTCCCCCGGAGAGAAAGTACTTTACGTGGATTGGTGGGTCAATTGTGGCTTCCCTCTCCACCTTAAAGGAGATGTGGATTAGCAAGCAGGAATACAAAGAGTTCGGTCCTTCTATTGTGCTTAGGAAGCATTTCTAGTTCATTTTCGGGTATGCAGACACAAAATTGTGTTCTTTGTCAACATGGTGAAACTTTTGTCTCTATGTTGGGGCATCTGCGTAAGTTTGTGAAATACTTTTTGTTAGTTATAAAGATTGATGTTCATTAATTATAAATATCCCAAAACACTCGATTCTTGAGTTGGGGGACGGCTATACATTTAGCATAGAACTGAAGCACTGGTATTTTTAGCTTATATTTATTTACGATGCTGTCCATTCTTGGTGTTTCGTTCATTTCTTCTCACTGTTCACTTGTAAACTACCAAAGGAATTAAAGTATTTCCAAACCTCTATAGTTATTGGTTATTACTATGGTTATTACTTCTACTTGCAATCGATATTATTCTTATATCTTACTCAGCATCGGGCCACAGAACAAAAATGTTGCATTGCAACAAGAATTGTAATGAAAAGTGTTAGCCTAGAGAAAAGAAACTACATTTTATTTAAGAACGGATGAAAGTTATCAATGGTTTTGCTTCCTGGAATATTCTGCCATGCATAAAGCGCACATACGTCATTATTCATTGACTGAACTCAGTAGTTCTCATTCACTTTGAACATAAATGATGGAGCAATATACTTTTCAGACTGATATTTGTATTTTAACACTTTACACTCCTGGCAGTCATACAGATAAGACCCAAAATCAATGCACTGAACTTGACCTCTCTGACATAGAGCCCCGACAGTGAATGGACCAAACACTTGCAGAGACCACGGAGACCAGATACTTGTCCGGACAAATATGTTCTGTAACCCGTAATTTAGTTTGCAACAGCATTCTCAGCCAAAGGCAATCGCTACCATACGAGGTTTTTGTTCTACTGTTGAAGTCATTTTGTAGTAGATCAATAGTGTTGTACCACTCCAGCTCATCGTGTTTTAGCTGTATGTGTTATGAAGCTTAAACCTATCCACCCAGCAGGTACACCAAGAATACATGGCCTATTTCAGGTGAAAAAAGCAATAACATCGATAGATGGGTGTGCCTGATTAAGATGTTATTGTTGTCAACGAAACTGTGACACTGGTCCACTGTAACTGATGTTGTTGATGATGTCACAAAGTTTTCTCCTTCAACTTTGTTTTATTGTTATATTCGTGCATGTCTAGCGGTATATCGGTGGAGGTTTCTAGGAGGTGCAGTTCCCTGTGCAAAGATATACATTCTTCAGAACTCAAGTTCTCTGAGTATGCAACTTATTCTATCCGTACTAAAATGTGCTCTTAGGTTAACATATCTCCCGTCCAGATAAGCTAACTCCCGCATGCATGCTCAGCAGCGACGCGAAATGGATGGCACACCATGTCAGACACAATTATTAAGACAAAAACGCTATTTCACTTTGCAACATCAATATATTTAGATAAACAAAGTTTACAGTAACAAAAATAACATCAACAGTCAACATGTTTCAACAACATATGGAATCTCTCGTCTTGCAAACTGCAATCCTTTCCGCTCTGCAAGAAGCAGACTCCATATCTTATATCCTAGGCTCCCTATCAACTGGACAGTCTCCATTCCAAATTAATAGCACGTAAAGGGAACAAAATAGACCTAGTTAAGAAAACAGTTTTAACTCAAATGTAGCAAAGAGCATCAGCTGCGAAGAAAGAGAGAAACAGATCAAGAATGGTCGATTAGGTATCGCTGACATCCGCGGAGGAAGTCCCGTAGCATTCCACAGGGCCGACCTTAAAGGCGCCCGCCTCGGTTCCGTCGTCACCTATAGAAGAATATATGCCATTGAAGCAGAAAAGTCGCCACAGACATGCATAGTCACATCGCTTCTGCGCATGATAATAATCTTCATGCAGGAAGTTGAGGCGAGTGTGTAACATGCAAGAATGAATTAAAGTTTGTGCAAAACGTAAAACTTAATAATGCCCTTTACTGATCTGAGTCGGAAGTATCGCCTGCGCATGTCAGGTTGCAACGCCTGTGCAAAGAATTCTGCCAACTGTTGCGTATCCGGCCTCGTCATCGGCGCCTGAGGATATCGAAAAAAGCAACATTGTATGAGGGAGTCTAAGAAATAGGGCATATTTGTATCAGACCTACAGCGCCTAGAACTATTCTGAACGCATCTAGATACTCACCAATATCGTATCTGAAATAGCTTTCTACAGACTACACGTGCTGTCCTAACCGAATATACATACACGAATTTCTTGTGATTTTGATACAAATTCTAAAATTTAATCATACAAAAATTTGGACACCACGTGACTATGCCTCGGAGCGCCCATTATCTAGAAGTGATTGTGATCATGTGATTTGTTATTGTAGCCTAGATTATGAGCGGTCCGAGGTTATGTCACGTGATGTTTTCTGTGTCTTCTGATCGCTGATTGGCTGGGAAACTGACAGCCGGTGTCTAGGTAAGTACGCCCCAACAGAACAAAGGTCCGATTGTTTTATATCCTCCCTCCATCATTCCACCTATGAAAATATCAAAACAATTTATGAAGCTTTCGTATTTAATTAACTAAACCACTGATTCGAAATATGCGTTAAAAGGAAGTTTCTGTATGTTTTAATGTCACTCGACGAGACTCATTATTGACACAACTTGCTAGTTGTTGCAGTGTGTAAACCCAACAATCCGATTACAAGCCTACAAATAATAACTTCTTCATGGATGACTTATTGTAGAGTTTCCACTTGTGCAACAAGCATACTGTCAACGTACACACAATACGTACTTTATGTGACCTACTAGGCAGTCCATGCATGTCTCTACAGTTTGAAAGAGGGCTATGTTCTACGTCGGGCATGTGACTATGTTCATATTTTCGTCAGTTCATCAAGATTCCGAGTGATGTACTAAAGACTGTATGGCAACACTGATCACTTCCAAAAGTCAGCATTTACCATTATGTAGCAATATTCCTGTAGTGCCAACCTTTGATGTTTACATTTAACAAAGTTTAAGTAAAATTCAACCTTTTCTACCAAGATTTGAAAATGTGGAACAAGCCTTTTGCTCAGATGACATGATTCAAGAACTCTTTAAAACTTTCAATATGTTCTGAAGTAGAAATGTGAGGAATATGTTCAAATGGGACACAGCAGTCACACATTGATCTCCTAATCAGTTGCCTGTTTCAGGGGACAAATTGGCTTTCCTTTGTATGTGTTTGAGACGGTTGTGCCGTCGCTCTGAAATCCCTAGAATATTCCTAGAAAGCTGTATAAAACCCTTCGCACTCAAATTCAATAAATGTTTCATTTGGTAAATATGTTGATTTTGTTGACTACATAAACGCTGGTTCTAATATATGTAATCTTCAGTTGAAAACCCAAATTTAAACCAGATGTAAACCAATTACAATGACCTGTTCGCAATTCCGTTATATATTGATATGTCAATGCAGTTACATATCCATGCTTCAAGCAGGTTTCACAGCGGCACTTTGATCTACGCCAAAAATACTCAAAGCAATTAGACAAATACTTTGATTGGTTTGTGTTAAATTGTAAGAAACAATCGACAAACTATATTAACCAACAATATGCATTTTGATCTCAGTAATTAGAATGCGGAGCATACATGTCAAAGAAGACTAAGAAACCGAGTTAAGTGTTCCCGGATCTTGTATGGTGATCAGCATAATTCTGGGCTACTACTACGACAACACGTGGCCACACACCGCACATAGTCTCTTGCTGAAAGTAAGCGCAACATTATCCTGGAAGACAAACGATGTATTAATCATATTCATGTATTAATAAGGCATATACACTATTTCTTAACAGCTGTTACAGACAAACAGTTAATACTGTGTCAATAGCTACCATTTGAAAACATGTTTTTTATGAATGTATCGCATGTGTTGATGCAGAGGCTTGCTGATATGAGCAATAGCAAATAGATCAATGCTGAAACTGAAATTATTTCAGGAACCTTTTGACAAATCAGTTTTAGACTAATCAGTTCTGTGAGCAGAACCGATGCTGTACCTAAAGTTGAATTGGTATTTTGATCAAATCAAACTTTTAGCACTGAAAGTCTTCTACTGAGAAGGCACAAGCGGCCGCCACGGAGGCCGCCATAGCTTGACGTTGTCACACTGAGAAAACATTAAATAATACGTTACATACTCAAAGACATGAGTAAATCTGATATAATTGTCATAAGGCACAGAGTATCTGAGTATATGTAAATAATGTGTCATCCATGGCAATATTTATAACGCAAATAGTATAAATTTTGTAGTGTACTACAGACGTAATGAAATATGAATACCTATATTGCAAACGAATTGTAATATCTCTTCAAATCATTGTAAAAAACAACAGAGAGAATGGTAATCTAATCTGAATTCATCACTTGATGACCTATTATTTGTTCCTGATGAAAGGAGAGTGTGAGTACAATGTACACTGGTGTCAGCATTACATGGATACGATCCAGTCGACAGTTCTTATACTCCACAAGATAGTTCTAGTGATCTAGTGTTGATACAGATTCTATTCGTCTAGTCTCAACCTATAATTAAAGCGCTGCGGCGCAGCTCGGGCCGATGTATTCCAATTGTCGACCAATCCGCCTAACGTCCCTCAAATATGATTGTTGTGTCATTTACTCGTATTCATTCAGAAAATGGTAGAGTAGTGTTCTGCTTTCTAATTAAAAAATAATACGAAACAAGGCATGTGGATGGCTACTTCGCGAGAAAGCCTTACGTTCACATTTAGATTGGCCTACAGGTGATGGGGTAAAAACATACGACCCATACATACAGTTACAGAATCAATATTAACATATCAAGAACGGGTAGATGCATGTTTGTACGAGTACCATGCCGGTTTAGACCTATATTCACCCAATTATCGCCTCTTCTCGGCAAAAGTGTAAAAGTTGATTTCAATGATTGAAGGACTTTAACCTAAATTCTTACACCCTGCTACGTTGTTTTCATTATATGTCTTTAGTTTTTTTGATTCCATAAATTATAAAGATTGGAATAGAAAATATCACAATATGGAAATATACCTAATTCTATTATTGTAATAATGGTCGGCATGACATATTCACTTTTTTGTGCTTATAGGATAAGCAAAGGAGCATAACATTACAAATGCATTCAATGACAGGGGGCTAATGACTAAACTATACACTCTTACCTGTGTCCCCCGCCAGGAACTCAGTGACAGGCAGGTCCGGCTTGTAGGACAGGTAGCCGGAGTCTTCCCTCCAGACTTCGTCGTTCTTGTCGCAGTTGCATGCCTTGTCCGGGTCTGCACATGACCCGGTCATGCCACAGGTACACATACCACTTCCGGGAGTGGCATCACCAAAGTAGTCTGCAATTCCGCCAGTCCTGTTGCGCCACCCGGTAGTGATGACACCATTGGCATTGGGGTTGTGAATCACGGCGGCCTTGCACTTCCATTGTACAAACTGTCGGCAGTTCTCACTGGCATCGATGATGGCGATGGCGTGGTCGAGGGAGACGTTGTAGTTAAGTCCCAGAACATATTCTCCAGCTCCCTTCGTAGCCCACGACTTCTTCCTCCTCCTCCGAGTCGTGTCCTGTGCAGAACATTGTGTGAACTGATTATCTGACATTACAGCTTGATTTGTACATGGTGTTAGGATTCACAGAGACTATATTATGCTTTAGTGAGTAAACGAGTAGGACTGTGAGCCACCTTTAGTAATATTTTTAAGCTGTATATCGAATAGTGACACCAGAAAATAGTGACACCAGAAATGAAGCTTCATACCTTGTACCACTCAGTTAAAACCGAACCTTGCAATTTGGTGTAAAGAACGAACACTTTGACCATAGGCCTTGATGACCCATAGTGTTCAAAGATCAGGACTAAACAACGTCAGCGCCATGAATGTCGTACGTCCCTGCTACGGTGTGGGAGTTACGATAACATTCGCTCTTAGATCGCCTTGTACAGCGGCATCAAGGTAATAATGTAAGTATTGTTTGTTTTCATACCAATGACTGTGACGCCAGCTCCATTCTCAGATGTCATGTCACAGTAAACAAGAGTAGGTTCCATCAGGCCCTCCGCGTCGTCCGGGTCAATGTCCGCCATGGTGTTTGACATCAAGCCACGAACACCCCATTCAGAACACGTGCGAGCTGTGTATGAAAATCGGTATTTGACTGTAAAATATCTAAGTTGGGATCATAATATTTATTTTCAACACTGAAATGTATCAGATACGCCATGTTTATGTGGCATATTTATGTCACGCGTTTGTAAATGTGACTTCGATAACTGGGGTAAAACGTGACGAACACAACATGTATCTGATACCATGAGAACTGTTCCTAAAATTTGCGATTGGTAGCCCCAAAGAAAGAATGATAAAGAAAAATGCCTTCAGAGATTTGAGCAGTTGGCCCACGGGTGTCTTATGAACATTGAAAAATGCGATGATCGAAGGGCGATCAAATATAGTGACTTTCTGAACAGCTGACTTCAAGTTAACAATCCTCACCCAAGGGTGTGCAGGCAAAGGTGTGGCAGTCAATGGTTTCTTCATCCACTCCTTCACAGGGAGAGGTCAAGTTGCCGTGTGACGTCATGTCACATTTTCGTGAGCGAGATTTCGTCCCACCCCCGCAAGTGACAGAGCACGTGGCCCACTGTTCCCAGTTGAACCAGTCTCCAGGAACTGGTACACGAAGCAGGGTTAGTTATTTGTGGTCCACAACAGACGTTTACGGACAGTACGACAGAATGTCGCACAAGTAAAGTGAAATTATAGAAAAAGCAGAAATACATAAGTGTATAATCAATCAGAATATCAAAGAGCAAATCCAGTATCATGTTCAGAAGAACACCTAACTTTAACCGGATGACCTAGATTCACGAACAACATCGAACATTCGATAATTCACTTGCATGTTACCAATGTTTCACTGGGAAAACGCATGCATTAGGAAGGATTTGCATAAACGATACGACACAAATGCACATATACATTATCAACGGGGTTATTGTGTACCATCATTGCAGTTGTTATTCGCCATGATGTTTGTGCAGACAGACGGTGTTTCACAGCAGGACAAACAACCGACACGTGCAGACAGTGGACACACTATGACTGCCATACATCTAAGGGCATTATGTAGGGCAAGGTCAACCATGATAGTTTCATGGTCATATAAAGGTCAAATTCAGTGGTGTTACGGGGCAAATCAAACGAGTTAAATGTTATGCATAGCTTGTCAATCCACATGTTCCTAGCAACTACTGTGGTGTTAAGGTCAACACTATTCGGCTACACCGGGCTACCTCTACAGACGGGCTACATATACTGGTGTGACCTGAAATATAGAATATCTAGATCATCAACTACAACTACAATCAGCAAGTACATTCACCATGGTCTAAAACACAAAAGTTAGTTTATAATACACTACAAGCATGGCGTACATATATTAATCTGAGCTAAGCTTGGAACATTGTCCACATTGACTAACACGTTACTGACAGCATAAGACAACACATTTAACAATACCGTGGCACATCAAGGCGTATTGTGTACATATACTCTAGGTGTCCACAGACATCCATAGACATGGCGTGGATGCCATCAGCTGTATGTATTCCAATGTGTAGTATCAGATACATCCACACATGAGTGTTTCACATGACACCATCTATGTGAATGTCACAGATTCCATAGAATCATGCATGCCTCAGTATTCTAGACGAGGTCAAACACAATTACCATAGGAAACAATATATAAGTACACATCAGTGTTTCACATTGTGCCATGCACACGAGTACAGTAATATTCCGTAGGATGTATATTGTTCCAGAACATACGGTACCATTCACGTAGATATTGCAATGCTCGGGTCGGTACATACACATGTATACAAGAGTGTTCCACGGAGTGGCATATGCATGTATAGTACTGTGTTCCATAATATACGGTACCATTCACATGTATATAGCAATGTTTAGAAGAGTACCATACACATGTATACAAGAGTATTCCCTTGGTGCCATATGCATGTATAGTGCTCTGTTCCGTAACTAATGGCAATGTACATTATACCATGCACATGGGTGCAAGGGGTTCCATAGGGTACCACACCGACTTAGAGTACAATGTTCCCTGGCATTGTGCATCATACACATCTATAATACGTTGATCAATATTACATTGTAAATATGCAAAGTGTCCTGCTTCCATAGACACCTGTACATGTGTATACGTGGACATTATGCATATATAACATCTCCGCGAATAACAACAGTGCAGTGTCCCATATGGTGCACTGTAAGTAAACAAGAGCGCTCCGTATGGCATCTTACACCTGTTAAGGCACGATACACATGAGTTTCCTTAAGACACCATACACATGTATTTACGTGTTTCCTTAAGGCACCATACACATGTATTTACGCGTTTCCTTAGGGCACCATACACATGTATTTACGTGTTTCCTTAAGGCACCATACACATGTATTTACGTGTTTCCTTAAGGCACCATACACATGTATTTACGCGTTTCCTTAGGGCACCATACACATGTATTTACGTGTTTCCTTAAGGCACCATACACATGTACTTACGTGTTTCCTTACGGCACCATACACATGTAGTTACGCGTTTCCTTAGGGCACCATACACATGTATTTACGTGTTTCCTTAAGGCACCATGCACATGTATTTACGTGTTTCCTTAAGGCACCATACACATGTATTTACGCGTTTCCTTAGGGCACCATGCACATGTATTTATGTGTTTCCTTAGGGCACCATACACATGTATTTACGTGTTTCCTTAGGGCACCATATACATGTATTTACGTGTTTCCTTAGGGCACCATACACATGTATTTACGTGTTTCCTTAGGGCACCATGCACATGTATTTACGTGTTCCTTAGGGCACCATGCGCACGTAAACACGAGTGTTCCATATCCCACAGTGTTCGACATGACATCGTAGACATGTTTTCTACAGTGTTCCACTCGATGTCATACACATGTATACCATAATGTTCCACAGGATACCACAGTCATATGAACCCCAGAGTGTCATATGACACATTGCACATACAGGTTCTCACAGAGGGTTGTGGCCACTTCACAACACATTAGCCATATACAAGTCCCACAGTAGATTGGGAACTGATATTGGCAACAGGCAATAGACAAATACATAGACGTTGTCCACTGGGGACCATAGAACAATATGCCCTACAGGCACGCATAACAAGGTGTGCTACAGGTATGGGTATCAAGTGTTAGTAGAACTAATGACGAATATAACATGTGTTGTAAGGACAAAGGACAACTAGTGAGAATCATATAGCACCTACTTGGACACAGGTTGGGGTTACACGACTTGAGTTCCTCGGCGTCCCCGACACAGTCAGCCCCTCCGAATTTCGGTGCGTCACAGAGGCGGGTTCGTTTCATTGCTCCCCCGCCGCAAGTGGCACTGCACTCTCCCCACTTACTCCAGTTCATCCAGACACCATCGACTGTAACACGTGGTCATCATCTTTAGCACCAACCTTGCGGCGTGAGCAAATGATATTGCAAAATGAAATAAATTAAAAAAAACCAAAAAAAACGAAAAATACAAACAAAAAAACCCAACCAGTCACGATCATTTCTTAATGTCTTTGGCCTTAATGTAGCGTTATGGCTCTTTTAAAATATTCATATGAAATTTATCTCTCTGTTATTTATTGATACAATTATTATGTTTTCTTTTACAAATGTATAAAATCACATTACGCCACTACAAAAAGTTTGTAGGCGTGCCGAGCGCCGTCTTGTGAAGTAGTGCCGCTGTATGACTTTCCGCTGAGCATGGCAGTAGCGCGTGACACTTACTGAAGCTTATAATAAATATGATATTGATATATAACTTAATATTGCACAATATTTTATCTTGTTGCTATCTCTAGCCAACGTCTTGTTGTGAAACCGTCGTGATTCAGCAAATATTCAAGGATGCATAAACATTTGAAGAAATGCACTATTCTATAAGGCAAGGTTTCTGTTGTTAGAAGAAAAATCGAGACAAAGAATGCATCATCTGAAGACTAATGCACGCTTTGATCCGATTTGAAAGTAAAATCAGAGAAATGGTAAGGGCAGAAAACCCTTGAAGCTGAAGAGCTTAAGCATGCCCAAAAAAGACACTTTCTGAATCCCGGATGGGACCCAAACCAAGAACCTGCTAGAATGTGTACTTTACTGAGAAAATGTAATCCCAAATACGACATATGTTGCATTTGACAACGTTCTAAAAGGCATTGTGTATTCATATATTGCTATAGAAATTGAAATCATTCATTACGTTGTGGATTTAGCAATATTAATGTGATCATTTATGGAACATTCAAACTGAAGATATGTGTTTCTTGGTGGACATCCTTTAAGCCGAGAAGAATCGCATTGTATTTTACAAAGACACATTTAGTTGTTATGGTCGTATATTCTAACCTTATAGATTGGTGCTAGTTTTGTGTCAAGATTCAACAATGAATAGCTATTTGAAGAAATGCACTAGTCTAAAAGGCAAAGAATCAATTGTTAGTAGAACTTCCGAGTCAAAGAATGCATCATCGAAATGATGTAATGCACCCTTTTCTCCGATTAGAAAGTGAAATACATGTAGTAAGATTAGTTGCTAAGACTAAAACCCTTGAAGCAGAAGAGCTCAAGCATGCCCAAAGGACGCGTTCCGAGTTTATTGGTCCACATCCAATTTGTTCACACCATTGCTCCTTAAATATGTTCTCAGTATTCACATCCCTCGATCTGCAATAGTTATGATACACAGACAAATGAAAGACGTAGCAGACACTGGAACAGTACCGTAGACGGTGAAAAGAGAAATTCAATGTTTTCGGGAAGAATGGATTCGGAAGCCTCTCATGGTCAAGGCTCAGGTCATAGGAAAGGAAGTGGCATAGTAGTGCTCTGGGTGATTTCTTTCGTCAGTTTATAGAGATGAAAGAATCATGAAGGGAAGTCGGAGGAGGCATTCGATATTTACAAAGTATAGTCACTACATCCAAGACCTATACAATCATGCGTCCAAGGATACTTATGCATGCACTCTAGGGATAGGGAGGAATATCTTCTAACCTCATTGTCTAAGACTTGCAATTATTCTTTTAGAAAGGATGGACAAACTTGAACCCAATGTCCTATATACAACTGTGTTGGCAAAGCTGTATTGTGAAGGGTTAAATAGAAATTCCGCTGTTGATTAACTGAGTGACATGCAATGCGGTGATGGGTTAAATGAGAAAGGGTGAAGGCTATTGATGACGTCATGCAGTGAGGGGACTGACCAGGGCAGTGATTGGTGTTACAGGCCATGGTGTCAACTGCTGGACCTAAGCAGTCGACACCACCATATTTAGGGGCGGTGCACGACCTAGTCCTATCTTGTGTGCCTCCGCCACACGTGTCACTGCATGCTCCCCATGAGGACCATTCACCGTAGACGCCGTCAACTGAAAATAGTTCGGAATGCGGCTGCTGCACATGAGTGTTCCATGTAGATAGGTATAACTGTGGGCATGGCTACCTATAGGCTGTTGGAGGTACAGACTAGAATGGTCTTTAATACTTTACCCGGTATTTTGACCAACATTAAAGACATATTTAAAGTCACTGTAAGCCACTATTCACGCAAAACGTGTTTTGACCAACGTGTTTCTTCGTGTTATTTCACTGGAATTCATGATCACAACCACGGTGCTAACTTTTAACTGTAAAGCTGAAGTATTTCAGAACCTAATATGCCAACCCTGGCTGTTCTTCCATACATCATAGCAGGTCTAAACGGACACACACGCACGCACGCAGATCTAACAACCACGCACGTGCACACTAAGACATACACGTACATACGCACATATGAACACAGGTTTGACCGGAAATATTTTTGTATGCAGTATTCAACCTAGCATGACAAGCAGAATTAGATTCGTATACATAACAAAGACGAAAGCAAAGCTTTACTTACTGGGGCAGTTATCTGTGTTGCAGGCTTGAGTGACATTGCGAGGGCCTGGACATTCTTTACCACCATCAAACGGTCCGATACAGTTCCTTGTCCTCCATTGCTGCCCCCCTCCGCACGTGAGCGTGCACGTGCTCCACTTTGCCCACTCCGCCCATATCCCGTCCACTGAAACCACCAGCTTTAGCTTTATATAACATCACACACAGACACACCCTTCAGTTGGACCACTTCCTTGACATCGGCTGGCATCAATATGTTTTCAAGGAATTATTGGTTAGTAGCTTAAAAGAATTTAACATGCTTCAAGAATCAGTAGCAACAAAACTGTCTCTACTTCAGATTGTATTAACAAAGGGCTAATTGTATAAGCAATCATCATTACAGAAGAGAATATTAGTTTAAATTACTACGAAGCGAAATAGAAATTTATGGCTTCATTGCAGTGCTTAAGAGAAACGAGGTTAGATTGTCTATATACATTTGTCTGTTAAATAAACTTAAAAACCATATTAAACACCAGAAAGAAATATTCAAACTCGCTGAAAGCGTTAATAATAAATAAAAAATTTGTTAATGAAAATCGCGGTTATAGATGATGTGGTGCTGCTCGATGCATCGTTGTGATTGGTAGAACGTGATGCGAATATGAAAAAGTGACAAATAGATTGATCACGTGACTGGCGTGGCAAGGTTTCCGCCAAGTCCTCATTTACAACACACGTGATAGGCAGTTATATTAGTCAACACGTGCAAATAGGCGTGTCCAAGAAGCTATAATGCGACTAATTATTGAACTTCAAACAAAATAATGTGATATTGATGAAGGTTGACTTCGGATAAAACGGATGGACAGGAATAATATGATTGATGTCGTTCTTCCGCTGGCCACGGGCGACTGACCCGGACAGGTATAATTGTTACAGTCCCGTGACTCAATCTGCGCTCCTTCACACTCTTGTCCGGTGTGAAACGGACCTTGACACTCCCTTTCCCTCTCTTGTATGCCTCCGCCACAGCTCTCTGAGCATGCGCCCCATGGGAGCCATGATTCCCACATGCCATCAACTTGCGTGGAAGAAATTAATTTACTTAAAGCTTAGCACCTTGAGGAATGAAAGGTCAAAAGGTGACTGGTTTCATGAATAATTTTAATTAAAATATCATTTTGCAGGTGCAGCAAATGATGTGACGGCTACATATTTGGAATGGTATGTGATAATGCACATGTTAGTCGCCAGAGCTCAGCTAAACAAAGGCACACACTGTTAGACACGCGTGACAGACAGAGCTATGTCGTTATCGGAATACAATATCAACAGCACACACAAGTATTATGGTATACTCTACAAACTATCTACCACAGTTACACACATGTAAGAGGAATAAAAAAGCGTTAGTACAAAACACGAATCAGAGTAAGATCATCAGTAATATATCACGAATAGAACTAAATCATGTTCAGTCTTAATATAATATTCCTTAAAGTATGGCAGCTAATTATGTAAATAAATTCATTATTCTCATTAACATGATCTTTGCAAGGGTCGCATCAAACAATGCAAATGATATTTTGATGTTAAGTTCTGTCTTCGGACTTTTTGACGACAGAATGCAACACGTACCAGGGCAGTTATGTTGGTTGCACGACGCTGTGTCTTCACGTGGACCACCGCAATCTTTACCGCCGAAGAATGGACCATGGCAGGTGCGCTGACGCAGTTTATTACCACCTCCGCATGTGGCACTGCAAGTACCCCAGTCTGACCAATTGTTGAAGACGCCATCAACTGAAGAAAAAAAAGGAGCAGCTTCGGACCTGAATCTCAGGTAACGAGAAGAAATAGAAGTATGTAAAGTAAATATTGACAATCGTGATTTATCGTCAGTTAGAATCAGAATCTCAAACGTTGTTTTATGTAATTATATTTTCTCAAAATGCGTAAACTTAAGAATGGACTAACGTTTCAGAGTGTATTTTACCATTTCACTCTGTGAACTGTGAATTTTAATGACTACTTCATATCGTGAAATCTATTCTGTATTTACAAGACGTCACATCTCTACTAGAGGACATCACCAACAAACAAGAACATTTGCATTCAACAAATATTACTACGCTTCAGCGTAGATCGCTAGTATCAGGAGTCACGTGACCTGATCTAACGACCGCTCGGCGCAGAAAACCATCGTCATGTGCTGTCACATGGCCAACTGGTACCTGGGCAGTAGTGATCGTTACAAGCCTCGCTTTCGTTCCGCGCACCATCACAGTCGGCACCGCCATAGAACGGACCATTACGTTCTATTTCTCCAGCGTATCCTCCGCCGCATGTGACGTCACAGAGACTCCATTGAGCCCACCGTTGAAGCGCTACCCATCCTCTAGTGAAGCAGAAATGAGATACGACATTGCTCATCACGCTACGTGTCTGCTGGACTGAAGTGAAACTGTGACATTAAGTTATTGTGGAGGGTTCTTGTATATCAGGCAATCACTGGGACTATTTCGTGAGCCTAGACGTAAACAAGCGGTGATGCAGTTGCGAGGAAGGAGGTCAGGGCAAGGATACTAGAGGAATGCTAATAACAGGAAGTCAGACTTTCTCAAGCAAAGCCCTTTATATGATTAATTCAATGGGGACACATATCAATCAAATAAATTAATTCTTGGGAGCTGTCCTGCTAGGCCATTGCTTTGCTTGAGAAAGAAGAAGAAAAAGAGTCAGATCGGAGTCATGACACATACGCCGGGTTGAAGCGGGAAGTCGCGACAGGGATAAACATTGAGACTATTTTCTTACCTGCAGGCTGTCATAACAGCTAGCTGCTCTACACAGTTATCTCCCATGTCATGCATCCTGCTCATATGATCGGTCATTCATTAACATGCAAACAATGGAGGTTTAGGTAATGATCAGCATGCAGTGTACACGGTCCGAAAGTGGGGAGAGAACTGCAACTGACCCGGACAGCTTTGGGTGTTGCAGTCACGCGACTCTTTAGAGTCTCCCAAACAGTCCTGACCACCCCAAAATGGCCCAATACATCCCCGGTCGCGCCACTGTATTCCTCCGCCACATGTAGTGCTGCAGGTTCCCCAAATCTCCCAGTTTTGCCATTCGCCATCAACTGGAACACATGGGATAGTGCGGATATTGTTAGGTGGCAGTGTCATTCCTTGTGGAAAAGTGCAGTGTTGTAACTGAGTTACATTGTTTAATTTCCGGTTCAGTAGAGGATAGTGCCTATATTTACACTGAGAGTAAGAGACTGGTCTACAAAGATCTAGTATCACATATCTTTGTTGCTTACGTTGATGCCACACATCATTCTTCTCTGTGCAGATTTCGGGTTACCCTATTGTTTCAATAACTTAACAATATGTTGACAACTGGCGTTATATGACAGACATACAACAACACAAACACAGATTAAAGGTTAATCTGGTTAAACTCTCCCTCCTGCCATAAACAATCTGATCTTAGGAATGAGCTGAGCAAGATTCTAACCTGGGCAGTTTTGTTCGTTGCATAGTTCTTGTTCCTCGTCGTTGCCAGTGCAGTCTGTCCCACCAAAGAATGGTCCTTCACAGTCGCGTTTACGGCTTCGTAGACCACCTCCGCACGTAAGGTCACATTCTGAGAACGCGCCCCAGGACAACCAAGTACCATCAACTGTCAATAGTATGGAAATGGTGATGATAGTGATGAAAGAACAACATCACCTTTGGAATATAAAAATCGCAGCAAGTTCTTGTTATCTTTTCTTATCCATGAATTTGGATGTGAGGGACTCAGCAATACCGTTCTTGTAAATATTTCTGACTCCTGTGATTAGGTTTAAGGAACGTTTATATTATCCCAGCCATATCACGACAGGACAAAACAAGAATGGTTTCAAATTGTTTAAACGTTACACATGAGGAATCAACCCTGGGTCTTCATCAAGAATGTTCTAAGCACAAAGCAACAACTTCTCGTATTCAGCATCCAAACACTCTGTTTGGTATTGCAACTACGAAGCTACACATTTGAAATATGTCGCACACCTGTTGTCGCCACACCTATAAAATATTTTACCTGTCCTGGATAATGGACAAACTGTTAAACATCGCTATGAGGCTCATCACTTGGTTCTGCAGAGTTGGACACTCAGACGAGCCAGCATCTGGTGATCATTGTTCAAAGCTTATTTTCGGTACTAGAGTAGTCATCATCTATGATCTCAGCCTGATTGTCTTCCTACATTACCTTTGACACTCTCCTATTATTGAACTGCTTAAAGCAGAGCTGAACTCGTTCACTTTACAATGTTCGAAAGGAACTTCTCTTTCCTGTTTCTAGTAATTGCTAGACGGAGCTTCGAATTTGTTGATAGGAGACCTCATCCTAAGAGTTGGTCAATAACTCAAATATAAAAGATCATAGACAAGTGCTAGTAGAAATTTTTTCACCTGATGGAAGTTGGAAAGGAAATACACACTTGACATAGAAAAACTGATTGTGAGGAAGAATGCTGTAACCCACCTGTGTAAGGGCATGATCAAGCTGTGCCCTCAAAGTCTTGGCTCGACAGGGCAAGGATGAAAAAAAGCAAACCACCAAAAGCACTGCAAGGTTAGTAGGTAGGAGAAAAACGGTTAGCACAACATCTAACGACAGGGTTCACACGAAATGTGGTTAACTTTGCATGCAAAAAGTTAATGAATTGTAGAAAGAAAAATTATACTTACATCTTATGTTGAAAAGCTCAAAAGTTATGTAGAGATATGATTTCTGGAGTAATGAAAGTGACATGATGGCTGATATGAGAAGGGGATGAAGATTTAAGGGGAGCGTTTACAGAGGTATTGAAGGAAAAAGTATATTTGTTATTATTTGTTGATACCCTCGGCATGACGAAAGTGCCGCACGTGGTTTGGTCCTCCATGGTCCAGTACAGTTCCTGCCTCCATGAAACGGACCTGTACACTTCCGGCTTCGCATTTTTCTCCTCCACCGCAAGTGACTCTGCAAGCTCCCCACTCTTCCCATGTTTGGAACACTCCATCAACTAATTGCCAGGAACAAAATACTGTTTCAGTGAACCATTCCTGATCTATCTATTTGCGTGTTTGTCTGTCTTGTGCTATCTTAAATTCAGTAAATGTAATAATTACGACACTTCAAATGTTCGTAATTCTAATCATGTCTTGCACGATAACGTCTGGTGTCATCACTGATTTTCAATACAATATAATTCCATTCATATAATTCTCACCAGTGTTGTGATTTTTTACACACTATTGAATGTGTGTTAGTTGTGACGAACACACACACACACACACAAACACAATGCCACAGCTTACTGAAAATCACGTTCCATTGGTTCCATCGAAATACAATGTCGTCTCCTCGGAGACGTTATCTACAGTCCAACGATGCAACCACAATCGCCTTGGGCACTACTGAATTGATATTGTACACTGTTCACAATTGAGTCAAGGTTTGTTCTAGACAGCCCTGAAAGTCTTGCAATGGTCTACAGGCGTTCAGGAGGACGTTTCAGCGACGCTTCCGTTACTCATCGTCGTGCGTTCGAGAGAGCACACTGCTCATGGCATCACTACAAATGGTAGAAGACAAGCCCGAATGGCCTGACAACATGGTGAGCGTCTTGTAACAGACTTTTGGAGGGAGCTTAACATTTCTGTATTGCCATGTCCTGCTTTTTTTCCTAAGTTCCTCTACCGTTTAGAAAATATCTTTGATGAAATGGATCGACACCTGCGGTAGGACAAGATCCAGCCATGCAAGGCTAGTTAACAGATACTCCTAGGCTTCTTTTCAATCATCTGACGTATTCAGCGAGCCGCCGCTGTATTTATATAATGCGTGAGATATACATCTTAATCACCTTTTAGCTGAGTATATGAAACTTTTGCCAGGTCAAACCAACTTGACATGAAGTGATCCAACAAACAAATACAGTTTGTGTTGTGAAGACTTACTTGGACACTGGATGTCATTACAACCCTTCAGCTGAACTCCATCCCCTTCACAGACTTTACCACCGAACTTTGGTTCAATGCAAGTTCGAGAGCGAGACTGGCTACCACCTCCACAAGTGACGTTGCATAAGCCCCAGGTTGACCACGTGGTCCATTCGCCATCAACTGGAAGTATTTCATATCAGAACCTTAGATTGATAATGTAATATAATATTTGAAAGGGAACATACATTTTATGTATGACGATTGAATAATACTACTCACACTTTGCTACGGATCACAAAAAATCACAACTTAACTTAAACGTAGAGTTATAATTTGAAATTGTATCCATTTAAAACTGGATAAATAATAATATGGTAACCCCTCATTACGCAAATAGTCACTTTAAGCTAACCTTATACACTTGATACACCAGTAACCATAAAAATGGTTTTCATGGCATCAATCAACTATTTTGCAAATCATGGAACGAGTCATTGACAAATAAACAACACACGTCAATAACAGGTATCGGATCTACAAGATGCAATGACAAACTGAAACCTAGGATCCATGCTTACAATAAGCTTAGGTATTTAAACCAAATTTGGCCCCCACATAATAGTTTTCTGTTGAATCCATGATTTGATCCTTAGCAAAGTGTGAATAGTATATTTTGTCACGATTTGGTTCAACGTCTTACCAACAAATAATGATTTATTTGTGCAGGTTTATACTGTAGTCAGTCAACAGTAGTCTGTTTTGTTCACAGTTTTGTAAATTGAGACTGAGCCAGACAAACTAGTCAGGCATTATCATCGTTTCATCCCAACAGGGAGTCTATGGCACACATTATAACCACCAGTTTGCATGTTACCATCCGATATCTATGTTGACTTTGGAAATTCATTCTGACTTTAACAACCATTATTAAACGTTTTGACATAGTCGTTTGGTGAATTGAAAAGGCAAGTGACATTCAAAGGCATGCTAGAAAATACAAGGAATATCAAAGATCTGTGGCTCACTTCATGTTGGGTATGTACGATGTCTACCAACGATTTATTTTGTCTTCCGGTTGTAACATATGTTGAGGTGGGGTTTTGTGACAAACTGACCATTTTAAATTAATTAATCTGATTATTTCAGCAATTTACATAGTTCTGAGAGGATTGCAACCATTTACAGGCATCCTTCGTATGGCTATTTTTGGCTTGTATAGAAAGTTGTCAAAGTATGAAAACAAAACAATTAGCTATCATATTAATATACGCAGAAGACGAACTTCCCTCTTCTGATTCTTTAAAGTTATATGATGTTAGTTTCGAAGTTACTTTATCTTTCCAAGTCCGCTTTCCAAGGAGTATTTGTGAGTTGATAAGGATTAAATTTACATCGATGCCCTGAAATATCTTTCTATTGAAATTATTTTATCAACTATAGCCTAGTGATTGATCACACTCAGTTGCATTACCAGCAGACAAGATCGTACTGACATCAGCTCACCAGAGTACATGTTTCCCTGACAGTTCCAGTGAGCAAAAGAAGTTATGGACAAAGGTAACTGTATTCAAATTATACAAGGTAGCCAGAGATTACAAAGTCTTAAGATATAGATGCACGAATGGATACAGATGCACGGGTAATATAGATGCACGGGTAGGCTAAGAATGGGATGTCATATGTATGACAGAGGCATTCATGGTAAATCAACCTGGCTGATATGACATTATGCATCAGTAACCACGAAAATATGCATGATCCACACGCCACCACACGGGGTAATGGCAAAGTCAGAGGAAATACAAATGGAAGAATTCATGCAAAGGATGAGGAAAACAAGACAGGCTTTTTAGTTGCAAACATACTAGGGCAATGGTCTGTCCCACATGGCTTAGCCTCTGTCCAGGAGCACTGCAGTTTACCACCGAAGTGTGGCCCCAAACAAGACCTTGACCTTGGTGATGTACTCTCCACCACAACTGACGGGGCAAACTGACCATTCTGACCAGGCTTCCCAAAACCCCATCAACTGAAATACATAGAATCTTTTGCAACAAATACAGAACGAGCGCATGCAGGTGAAATTATGGCCGCCATTTTCCTCCAATTATCCATTAACAATTTAATATTGTTGCATTCTCCCAGACCCACTGACATAAATGATGAGCATAATCTTTGCAGTTACGAGTATCTTGGTGAGACCATGCTATTTATCGAAAGTACAGCTCCTTACAAAGGCAACTGTAGTTCCCTGCTTTCACTGAAGTTGTCACACAGCATGATGTATTTCCCAAATAGGTTCAATCATGGGTTTGAGGAGTTTGGCCCTCAACCATATAGCAAACTGCACAAAGAGGCCATAAAGAACAGCTCCCCATTATACATAAACTGAAAACATCAAGGTGGAAAAAATAGAATTTATTTTTAGAAAATCCCCACGTGAGGTGGTAACGCATTTTTAACACTTGCATGCAGCATTGGTACTGCTACACCAGATGAGCAGTCAACATAACGGGACTAGGGTCAACGTGAAGCGATTATTCTTCACTCCTGGGAAACGTGCAGTTTGTGCCCTTAAAACACGGGGCCTCTCACATGTTCTAGCTCTTTCAGAAGTGACCCATCCACAAGTCACAGGACAAACTGACCAGGACAAGTATAAATAAAACGAGTTGGCAAAGCTGACCATATTATCGACACATCGGACTTTAAATCCAGGAAACCACTGCACATCCCGATCTATTAACACAAAAGATGAACATGGAATTGCTTTTCAAAAGAAGAACTATGATGAGACATACTAGGGCATGGAACAGTTCCACATGTTTTTTCTTCAAGCCAGGGAGCACTGCAGTTTTTCCCACCAAACCGAGGACCATCACATGACCTTGATCTCCGTGACATACTTCCGCCACATGACTGGGCAAGATGACCATTTAGACCAGGTTTCCCAAACCCCATCAACTGAAAGATAAGTTATAAAACGGAAGCTTTCCGTCAGCATGTTCTGAAACCTTCTATTCCCATTACAAATAAAGGAAAAAGAGGCATGCACAGTCTGATGATTGACAGCCATTCCCGAAAAGGCAGAAAGTTTTGTTAGCAACCCCTCAAGAAAGTGGAGAAAAGAAATGTGAGTCCGGGCATGAAAAATAGTTCCTGTGGTATGTATGGTACGAACGAACCTCCCTGAACAGACAGAACATGCAATATCGCTGAATGATACAACTTCTTAAGAGTGAGACGAGTGCACACATACTAGGGGCAAGGTTCTGTTCCACCACGCGTTGCCCTTCACTCCAAAGTCCGCTGCAGCTTATACCACCAAAATAAGGGCCAATAGCATGACCTTTGATCTTTGAGAAGTGCCACCACCGCACGTAACTGGGCAAATTGATCCAGTCTGACCAGTGATTCCATTGACCATCAACTGAAAGCACAAAACCATTAGTTTGGTGAAGCTTTTATTAAGGTAACTTACTACCTATTACTCACATGTATGAAGGCCGATTTCGGTTATTACCGCCCTAACAATAAAGTTTGAATATATGTTCTCCGTCAAAATAGTTTTTCGATTAATGCACCACATACACGTTTTGTTCGGAAATGGGTGTTATCAGAGA